GACGCCCCGATCTCCTCGTCTCTCGCGCACCTTCATTACATTACGCTTGTAGTTCTCTTCGTGCTGACAAAGGCCCGAGTGCTCCAATTTTCCGCAGATTGATCTTTGGGGCGTGATAACGCGCGCTGCCGCAGCGTTGGCTGTAGCGTTCAGACTTGATGATAATTCTCTCCGCTTGCCGCGCGAATTCAATTGATGCCCGCGAGTTGTCTTTCTCTTGTCAGCGTATCTTGGTGCCCTCTCTCACTCTCTTTCTCCAATAATATTATTCAGTTGCATGGCTCAACCGATGCCTCGAATATACAGTTTTCGCCAAATATGGGATAATGTTTATGTTATTTTGAGATCTAAATATGTACGCTGTTGTTCTACCTCATTAATGAGCTCATTAACCGCAAAGGTAGCGAATGTGCGCATAATTTTGAATATTATAGCAGCTATTATGAAATTCATCGTTCCGACAGGCAATATAACATGCAATTCCGACTTTACTAAAATAGTTACGTGTCAACTTCGTAAATAAAGGAAAATACATTCCTCAGATAGGCTACTTTAACATACTATAAATTTGACCAGCCAAAAAAGAAAATAAGCTCTTATCGTAGAGCAAATAGATCCTACTATGAAAGCTTCGGTCAAATTGATTGCTTATTCTGAGAAATGACACAATACCACACGGCTTGTTTCCGTCATTTGAGCCTGTTCTTTATCGAAGGGAAAAGAAATAACCATCCACACAAGTAAACTAAGAGAGCAAAATATACTTGAAGCTGACGAATGAAGCTCATATCTGATTGAGCGACAAGCAAAAAAGCTAACCCGATGTCTTTTTATCCTTCGCTTTTTGTGCCGTCAAAGAAAAAAAGTGCCGCGACGACGAGCCGTAAGTATTCTGCCTTACCCGTAGCCACGGAATAACCAGATAAAAAATCGTTTAGTCCGAACGGAAAGCGTTTTTACAGCGACAAATAATCGACGAAAATAATTAGATTTGCTTCGATCTCTCTCTCTCTCTCTCTCTCTCTCTCTCTCTCTCTCTCTCTTCCGCAAGTCGCATCTTCGAGACGACAATCGTCGATCAAGAGGGAAAAACTTATTTTCTCGCGCAGACGAAAGAATAAGCGACGATAAAAAAAACGATCGAAGTGGCAAGTAAAGGGCAGAAAGAGAACGTAAAAAATCGATGTTGAAAAGTCGCGGTCCTCGTGCTTCGTGCTTGTGTTCATTCCCGATAGACCGCGCACGTAACTCGATGCTGTGTAAGTTGGCTGGACACACGCGAACGAGAAGAGAAGTAAAAACGGCGCCACGAGGTCGTCGTCGTTTCCATAGGACATTAGTAGCGGCGAGCGCATTTTTACTCGCGCGAACACGTAATCAATTTTACATACATTGAAAGTACAAGTGCCCGCATAAAAATTGTAATATATCCCCGTGCATACAGTCGGATGCGAGATGGGCTCATCATATATACGTCATACGCGATTGGAATAAATGGCTCGCAAGTGATAAATTTCTGAAGCAAGGCAGCATAGACGTTGATCTGTTTATGATATTCGAAACGTTTACCACGATGAGCCCATAAACTAGGACTTTCAAATTATCTCATATTCTTGACAGCAGATAGTAAAAGTAGAAGAAAAGGTAAATGAAGATGGAAAGGCGTCTTTGCCTATAGCAACCGAATACATAAAGTGCCACATCGTAACTTATCTTCGTTATTCCCAAATGAAAATTACATTCCGGATTGCAATGTTTTATGTTTACGTTGGAAAAAAAGCGTAGTTCATAGTGCTGAATAACAATCTACTAACTTTTCGCATAAAACACGCAAATAATAGGAGACATGTAGTTTTGATGAGATGATATGCGATATTGTCCAGAAAACTAAGTTTATGCTTTTAACATATAGTTTGGCCACCATGCTTCGTCAAGTTCATTAGTTTGAACTACAGGTACATGAGTACATAGCATGAACTTGCTGTCGGTCATTTTGTCGTATATAAGTTTCGTTTTGGCGACAATATAAATTACAATTTTTATCGATTGTATGTAACCATGCAAGTTTCCATATTTTAATGCACAAAAGAAACACTTTATAGAAAAAGTCAGTAAATCGGTTTCTCTACTGCACGAGTATATAACATAACGGTTTTTTAATTCTACGTAATAAAGGAATCTTTTTTCGTTAAAAAAGAATTATGAATATAGTTATTTATTATCATTGATCGCTATAATTTATTATCTAAAAGTGGTTTTACCACATAAAATGTTTCCGTTGATGCATATCAAGTGTAATAAAAACGTAAAGTACTATTTATAAAGACCTATACCAAACTACCTAATGAATTGCAAACAAAATGCATCTCTATCGATCGTAGCGAAATTATATTATAAATTATTCCGCTTCATTTCCATGTCATATTTGAAATTTAAAGTTTCAGTATGATTTATATAACGTAATTATATCAAACGTAGATTAGGAAAGTAATGTGATTTTGAATTCGTTTCGTTTCATGCATAAATACATTGGTCTACGTAATAATATCAAGTAGTACGTATCAACGTTTAACGAGACTTCACATAAGATAAAAGATAAAGCTTTCATTATTCTTTCAAATATTCGTAGGTAATATAATTTTAGCTACTGATGTTGTATAATCCTTAATATATAGTTATTGTTCAAAAATTAAAGGTGTTTAATAAATTGAATTTATGAAGATTTTGATTATAATTTTTCGAGATGTTAGATTGTTGTACCTATTTATTTACCGTGTAATTTGGATCGAATGGTTAGTAGGATTACAAATTATTATAAAAATTTGAAGTTCAGATTCTGTCATGGGTTCAAAGATTATACTGATTTGAAAAATGTTAGTAACAAAATATAAACTATTTAAAATGTACAGAAATATACGATGTCTTCTTTATGGTTCCTTAAATGTACATATTAATTGAGTAAAATACCTTCGAAAAGAGGGAAAAACATGAAGGGCATTTCAAAATTTTTAGTACATTATTTTAAAAAGAATTTATCAAGATTTTTCGAAGAAGGTGAAGTAGACGATACATGTGGCAATGCACGCAAATTTTATGGAATCTCAGAAATATATACAGGCGAGATGCGTTGGGGCTTACTCCGTCGTCATCTCGTATATACTCTGTTATACATATTTAATGTTATTTCTTGGAAAGCGCGCTTGTATGTGAAAGAACGTGTAAAAATCTCATCTTGAAACTCCATCATTCATGAATGAGGTGGATCTAGAATAATTTTCTTTCTCACCAAGGCACGTTTGAAATGATAATGTAGTTGAAAATACTCATGAATACATAACGTTGAGTTATTGAGAATTACCATTTCGTTATTACAAGTGATAGGTTTCATACAATTGAAATTGATAAAAATTAATGAAACAATGTTTTCGCAATAATCCATAGGCAACTTCCGTAAAAAGTGTACTTCACAGGGACATACTATTGGAGATGTAGCAAAGTTTCGAGGTCGAAAGTGTCAGCCGTAAGTTAAGTTTATGGATGAACCCAAATTTCACGTGGGACTGTATTTCCAACGTTTTCATTACTGCGGCAAGACACACCTTTATTATACGTACGTGTGTGCGCGCACACACATACAGAGTAGATGAAAGTATTCATCACGACAGAGTTGCGCGCGACCGCGTGCTCTGGCGCAGACAATATGCATTTCATGTTTTTTTAATCAACTTTAACTGTCGGAACCGCATCCTTTCAAATTAAAATTCACATGGTTTTTTCAAATTTTTTCATTACACTCGATTTCTATACGTTCTATAAATTTTATACGGTTCAAATGCTTTGCGTTATATTATAAAGAGAAACTTTGGTATTTTTCTTTTACGGAAACTTTTACCGTCGAAACTGCCGTCGCTATATGTTGCATTTTAGAAACGCTATTGATGGGAACAATAGAGGTAGAATTTCCGTAGCCTTAAAAACCGCTGAAAATAAAAATTTTTCACATTTGACTTGTTTCACCAGTCGGCAAAATCGTACTCCGAATAAATTCCAGTTCTTGCGAATTAGCATAACTTAATTAGCTTTTACTATAAGAGTAGTCTCGGAATTTAATCAGCAAAACAAATACTGCGCGGAACAGAAAGTAATAATTTGATTTTCCGAGTGCAGAGCAAAGAGCTTTACATGCTTCGAATCAGAGCGAATTTTTCCATGTTGAACTACATCGTCGTAACGTTTTGCAAAACTGTACTGTATGTTCCTACCTGTATATGTACTTGATACATACATATCAGGTTAAATTTACTTTTTTTTTGCAAAGTCGCATCTACCTACGGACGTCATCAGCGTCTAAATGTATGCATCATAACTTTATTATGAGAATCACATTCTGATTACAGGTTATCGGAATACAATGGCAGAGCGTTGTGCTCTCATGCAAAACCAACGCGAAGTGCATTCAACTTCTCGAAATACGCAAATAACATTTTATGCCGAAAATATAAATAACCACGGAGCTTTCGCCTTGACATAACGCTTGGAGAGATCATCTACAACTCGCTTTTAAATACGCGATCTACGCGGCAAGAAGGGCAGTTGTGATTGCACTTGAGAGAAAAACAAACGGCGCGCGGGCAAGCTGAAAAAATAGAGCGATCGCGCGAGTTGCAGCTGGGCGAAAACACGTGGACCGTGAGATAGGATCAAGGACGTGTGCAATCGGACGTGGGCAGAAAATCAATTGTGAAAAGACGCTAAAATGAAATCGACCGCAGGCTGGTCATTTGCGAGGCGCTGAGGAGGGAAGGTATAGCCGGGGCACACAGCTGATAGCGCGGTCGAGAGTGATAGTTACTCGAGGGCGGAGAGGCGCCGGGGAAAGGGGCGGAAATCAGGCGTTGGCGCAGTCGCACTGAGGAAGTGTAGGAAGCATACGGCACGCTACACGTAGCCGGCGCCGCGGCCGCCGACGCCGTCGACTCTGGAAAAAGCTCCGAGAGTTACGCAGTTGCCGCGCGAGCTTTACGCGAGTGAGTAGTGGCCGGCAGCGCAGCAGCGGTCAATCGTTATATACATATATATCCACGCCACGCGCTACCCCCAGCTGGTGAGTCAGCCTGTCGACTCTCATCTGTGCTGCTTTTTATTTATGCATTTTCGAATCTCTCCGCTCACCTGTTGGCTCTCACTCGTGCTTCTTGCTATCCGATTCCTAACGTTGCTTTTTGTTGTCCCTGTTTGCTTCAGTGTTGCCGTATCCATCAGTTTTCAGTGCGTTAACGTATCGCTACCTTTTTTTAGCTTTTGCTTCTGCTCGCAAATATATCTTGTTTTTGCGGTGCACGCTAGTTACTCTATTACATGCTTCTTTAAGTCCCTTCACGCACTGCAACAACAGAAATTTTTTAAAAACATATTGCAATTTCATGCCATGAATTTCAAGCCATATTGCAAAGAGCTTGCTTCCTGCCAAATTTCTTTCATTCAGTTCCATCGCTATCCATATTTCATGATCTCAATTATGATAGCAATCGTTCAAACACGTTGAGTACGCGTTGAAACGACCTGTTCATTAAAAGCTTGCGTCACTGTGAATATTAAATCTAGCAATCAATACAATCAATCGGCTCAATAGGACGACATTGTTTACAACCATAATCGTACTTTGTATTTGATTGTATTTGATTATCAAGCGCATTTTTTAAAATGTCATTGATCGGAAGCTATTGCGGAAAATGAATTCCATAGTAGTTTATTGACTCGATTTCAAATTGGAATAAATTTAAATCAAGTTTCTACTTCACTTAAAATAATTAAATCCTTCGTAGAAGATGGTTACAGAACACAACCTAGTATCAGAATAGCTCCGCAACAGATAGCAAGAGATAGCACAGATAATCCGATATTTTCTCTTCGTGAAGTTGTTAAATACCAGATCCTATATTAGCACAATGACGATAGCATAAGCTCTATTAAATTTGGCAAAAGATGCAGGGGTCCAAGCGTCTTATTTTTGGTGGTATTCGCTCGACTGACGATGCTCTTGGCTTTTACAAGCCGCTATTTAAGGAAAATAAGAAAAAAATTGAGACAACTTGTGAGTTGAAAAATGCTCGGGAAAGTTAAAACGCCGTTGTACGAAAAAGCGATCAACAAAAGCTGCGCCTACGACCCTTGGGAAGGAATAGCTCGTGAATAAGTAAAAATTCGGCAACGTAACCTTGTTTACGTGCAGCAGCGGCGTAACCAGAAAGATTCCGGAGGAAGCTACGAGTAGTCGAGTTAGTAACGGGGTGAGTTGTTTTCGACGCGAATAACGACAGTTAAATCAGCGTGTTCATTGCGATGTCATAACCATGCTGACGAGTCGGACGAGTAAACATGGGACAAAAAATTACTTTGACTCATCCGTGTGACAACTTAGACTGTCTTTAAGTATCATTATTGCTCTACGATCTAACGCGAACATAAGCAACGTTTAACTAACTGGACTCTGCTTCTATTTGAGGAGCAAATCACATCGTAAAAATAACAATGTACCTTGCTACAAGAAAAACTTGAGTGCATATATATACATATACGCTATGTACGTGCCGTACAAAAAAACTGGATCAATTTCTTTAATGTTCAGCTGCTATTGTGTATTACGCCACCTGTACATGTGACAGTATTGAATTTTCTATTATTCGCTCTAGCTACTGTTCCAGATATTTAGTTGTGCATGTATGCAAAACTCGGCCTATGTAGAATGTAAAAAAGGCAATGAATGCAACTTTCACCATATCATATCGTAAACCAATTTAATATTCGAATAGTACAAAAAAAGAAACATTGTTTAGATGTTAAATATTATACGTAGAACAGAGAAATTAAACCAAAAGCAAACTCTGTAGTTATCGCCTCCCTGATATCGCACAAATGAATCATACTACAGGCATTTAAACTTTCATGGTATAAAACCGTATACAAAGTTCTGAAATGAAAACTCATAAAAGTTTTACATTATTCATACTAAAAGTGCCGCTTACTTTATGTAATTTATACGCAGTATTATATATCCGGCTCTCTTTATAAGAGCATGAAGTATTTCCATTAATTACCCGGTTTGATCATAATCAGAGCACTTAATATTATTTGCTAACGCTAAATCATATATAGTGCCAAACTGCTATTCATTTTGCAAAGATTTGTTTTTTATTTCTGTCAAGTACACCAGTCAACCATTATGACATACAATGAATTTTATTTGATATTGAAATATCCATTGTTTGAGTTTTAATTGCAATGGGTTATAGAGTTTTTTCTAAAATTCTAGAAACGAGATGTATTTTTTATAGCCAGAAGAAATATATTTATTCAAAGGGTAAAGTATTGAGAGGACTATATATTTTGGCTTCTAACCACTGTTAGAAAATCCCAATGCAATATACAATATTTTGTGCCAATTAATTTTCTTGTCAAATGAAAGTTCGAGAATAGGTGTAGGTGTAAAGCACACCCTGCTCTTTTATAGATGGATACAATGATAACTTTGGTTATTAACAAACATGGAACTATTTGGATTTTGAGTTGCGCAAACGACCGAATTGTCAGCCCATCAAAGTTTCCTTTGGTCAAGCCACTTCAACTGCCTAACTATTTCTAGTCATAGATATATCTGCGATGCATCATTAGATCTGTTTTCTTTGACTCTATCAAAAATATTCGTCAGAAATCTGCTAGGGTATAAGTAAATCCTAATTACTTTCATCATATGTTTTCTTTTATAATTCGTTGTTCTTGTTAAAATTAAAGTTAAAATATCGATTTCAAAAATCAATTTTGATACATAACATAGTATTCATACTACCAGTGCAGAAATATTTCACACGTGAATCAAATACGTAAAAATGTCCTTCAACGAATAGTCTCATATTGGCCCTACTGTCTTTGCGTACTCGAAGCAAAGAGGGTTCATTGAAAGTGCTATAGCTTGAACTAGGCATTACAAAAAAGCTATGCGACAGCTCATTTAAAAACTGTTTTTAACAGCTTTCGCATGAGCAATCAGGTGTTAAAAAATACTCTTTGTTAATCAAAAGTTACACCAATTGGTGCACACTAATCCTGTATAAGGTTTGCCTACCTTAATTGTCGCAATATATTAACGTTTGGTGAGCTGCAGTTGTTAGATAGCTTAATACGAGTAAATGTAGGATGATAGAAGGTGATACTATACAATTCTATCGCTTGTATGATATAATTAGATTTATTATGTCCGCATGTGCAGTGAAACAAAGTTTAACCACGACTTGATATTTATCTTGTTACGCAAGCAACTGTGCTTGTTTTTTAAATTGACATTTATATTGCTAATATATGTTGAACGATATTCACTGATGTATAGACCTTCTAATGTGTCAATATTGTTATTATACTATTTACATTTACTGTATTTCTACGGACTCGTGCAAAAAAAATATAACGTTGTAAGTTTCCTTTGCTGTTGTGTAACTGTTATCTTGCCATACGTATAGAACTACGGATAAAACGAAAGGTACAATAACTGCAAATGTTTTATGCAGCTTTTTACGAGATTTATACGTGGGAAATAGTTGAATAAGTAGTAGTTTTATAATTAATATGTAATATTAAATGATTTTTATAATTTAAAACAATCCTCATTTTTTGGAAAAAAAATGAATTTTGATTTTCATTGTATGTTTTCCGAATGTTATACATTGATGAAATGAAATTTTATTCATTTTATTAAAGTTTGAACAAAAGTTATATGAAAATATTTTTTATTTAAATAGAAATTGGAGGAAAAAATTATATTTTATCTGACCAAAATTGATACGATATCCATGTTTCCATTTTAATGGTCGCTGAAAGGGAAATACGTGTAGTTGTACAGGAGCATGTTTTTGTCCTGCTTGGTGGCCTATTTTTTGATTACCAGGCGCGTCAGGAAAAAAATAAACGAAATACATCGGTCGATTGATTTGAATTTACGTAAATAAGAGAATGAGATTGAAAGCGTTGCCTAACTCTCATCGGCGAAACGTAATCGGCATCGCTTTATGTGCCTTTGTCCGTTTCTCTTCGTCGAAGAGAAGTCTTACGAAGAGAGAAGGTATAGTACAGTCTAGTTAAGTAGGGATTTCTGGCACCTCGGGGAGAATTTCCCGTTTGCTGGCGTACTCATCAACAGAGCTCATTAATGCCGCCAACAGAGTCAACGCAGTAGCACACCAGCTGCAAGCTCCAAGAAACGCTGATATCATGAAATGGCAGGGTGGCGGCGACGCGTCGCGACGCTGAAAAAGCAAACGCGCATATTTTTTGGCATCGCGCTCTGTATTCGTCTTTGGCCGCGAAAGCCGGTTATTTATGAGCGCGCAACCCTCGTCCTCGGCCAGGGATTCAATTTGCCTGATTTTATAGTTGACTTGCACAGCCTTACTTGCCCACCCCCTGCCCTTGCGAGTTCGACTCCAACGAGGATTTCATTATTTATACCTCGCTTGACGCTGCCTTCGCCTGATTTGTCGGCGGCTCCACGGAGTGCGAGATAAAACGACGTCGCTACGGTGCTTTCAATTTAGTCAAATTAAATGCTAATTCGCTCGAATTCCCCCGTTCACAGCTTACCTTCCTCCCTATGATGCGGCTTTCATCCACACTCTCCGCAGCTTTTCGACATCCACACTTATTTCCAATTTTTTAACTTAAGCCCCGGTGAACAAATGAAAGAGCTTCAAAGTATTCTGAAGTTCAGTGTTCGTTTTTAATAATAACGGAACATTCGAGATTAATGATTTTCTTGTTACGCAACAGTGTCATTATGCTATGTAAGTTCTTAATTATAATGGCCCACTTAATAAAAGAAGATTTTACTTTCATACTTATACTATAACGGTGAACAAAAAGACGACGTACATTTTAACACATGTAATATTATAACCTTGTAAAAGTGTACAATTTTGGTTGTTGTACTAATAATAAAAAAAGCACATTATCGGACCGAGTAAGTGCTGTAAGTTTATTCGGGAATTCATAAATGATTATGAAAAAAAATAATAAATCTGTCAGGAACTGTAACCAACATCCGTTTGCGTTATTTCCTTCACAGAATAGGATTAATGTTTCAGCACGCTCGATCGATTACGCTTACACAAGGACTTGTTATGTATACCTAAGCCGCTGTACTTTATTCATCAATTGTCCGTCATTAAGGGTTTGTTTACTTCATGCTTAATCTGTCATTCACATGTTATTTTTTACAACTAAATGTACTATTTCATCAATCACATTTAAATATATCTTTCGCATAATTGATTTGTTTAATGTACCTCTTTAGTGTACATCTGGATTCATTTTCAATAATTAAAGTGACAAGACTATTGAAAATTAATTACGAAATTTATGGTAATAGAACGATGTCATTACATACATGAAGAACATATCTGATTTCAAAATGTATGATTTGAAAGTGACAATTTCTTGATAAGCCGTGCAATCTATTTAAAATACGAAAGTTAGCAAAATAAAAAATGCAGAAAATAGAGGTGTTTAGCAGGTTGACGGATACGAGGTATAAAAAAGCTAGAAATGCGTAACTGAATTAGCTCGTATTACGAATAAAAACAGCAAAATTAATAACACATGAGGTCAAGTCTAATATCCAGCGTTAAATTATAATGTTAGCAAGCAATAAAATGTAAGAGAAAGACCATTAAAGCAGCGAGGTAGGTGAGTTAACAGTTGAAATTGAATTGCGAGGTGCATGCATTAACGCGAAAAGGGGACGCGAGTTTCTGTACGACATAAATTATCATGCGCTAAAAGGCAGGGTTGATCGATGAGCTGGTGGGCATGCGTAACGAACGGATCAGATCAGAGGCAGCGAGCGAGCGAGAGAGAGAGAGAGAGAGAGAGAGAGAGAGGCCAAAGCGAAGGTAAGGCGGCAGCAGCACTCAGCACGCTCATTATCTTCACTAGCACGCGACGAAATGCTTCGCCGTTCCACGCTAGTTGGATTTGGCATTTTCCTCTAATAAGACCCGAGCGCACTTTACTCCTACCAACTTTCCACTTGTATTCACTGTCTTCGTAATGCTTTTAATACTGATGACGCTCAAAATAGCCTGTGGCAGGGTGTTTCGAACGTGGGTGATGTTCCCTCTATCAAAATGCCATCAGTTAAGCGATAAATTCCCTTATGTAAATTGGTGCTTTTAACGGCTTTGATTGTTTTCTTTAATAACAACGTTTGCGCAATCGATTTGGCGAACGTTTAGCCACTGTTGACATTCAATCTAATTATCGTTCAATTGTACCCGGCTTCATCAATTACTTAAAATAATCAAATTAAGCGCGCGAGCGAGGACATTGAAAATACGCTATGTTCATTTTCATTCGCTGATGCAAGCTTCCTGAATAACGTCACTCGCGTTCAGTTTGGATTTGCAAGTTTTCTGGGTAAACTCGATTTCTAAATTGTATATTTATACTGATGGCGTTTTATATTCATCGTAAACGGTATCGATAACTAAGCCCCTGCCAGAGACCACCTCAATTTGGCCATTCTCTATTGAAAACTACAATAGGTCGCGCATGCATGTCATTTCTATTATACAATATGGCTAAGCTTCATATTGAAGTGCATCGGCATGTAGCAAGGACAATTGTCCTTGTTTTTTTCGTTATTTTTGTTTTCATCGACTTACTATTGTATTCATTGTATTTTCGAAAATCACAGAGTAAAAAGTTTTATTTGAAAAATTTTTGACACTTCGGAGCCCTTTAAATTAGTAAAGCACTTCAAGTTTTGAAATCCTCTAAATTAGTAAAATATGTTAAGGGTTTACAAGTGATTTTCAACGAGTTCTAACAGTTATACATATGCTACTCAAGTCACGTAGATCTCATCAATGCAAAGAGCGGCTTATAAACTTAAGCTCAAATAGCGCCGTAAGTTCAAACTCAGAGCTGCGAATTATATAACGTGACGAATTCACCAAATTACATAATTCTCTTATGAATTTCAAGAGTCTTAATTCCAAGCTAAAAGAAATAATTTATTTGGACTTCACTCAATAACGAAAAATTATTGCTAAAATATGTGAATTGAAGTCTCCAGTTGAACTTTCACAAAGAAATTAAAAAGCTTGATCAAAAAACAAGAATAATAAGCTATACTTGATGTACCAACGAGCTATTAAAGTAAACGTATCATTAAAATTACTTTCTCAAATGAAGCTATTAAATACATCGAAGGACATTTGGCACGCACGCGCGGTAGCTATAGCTCTACATTATATGACAATTCAAGTAAATTTCCGTAGATACGTATCGATAAAGAGATAGATTATGGAGACTTAAAATAACGAAGAAATATGAAGAGTGACCTATTTATTATTATCAATAATGGCTCCAGCAATGCAGCTGACGATTAACTAGCTGGTAAGCTTAGCTGCGTGATTGAAATCCTTTTTTGTTTAGGCTTAGCGTATTTGGTCAAAATCCCAATTAACTATTTAGGAACCTAAGCTACATCTCGTTCAAAGATGTTCGTTTCAAATAAATTCCCAATATCTACGAATTAGTGTGGCCTTTTATTCAGCATTTTCTTACTACATGAGTAGGGTATCGGCATAAATGTAACTGTCTACTATTAACATACATTGATTTCCAAATTACTGCACTACATCGTATCAGAAATATGTTTGATTAATTTTCATAATTATTTGCCAAATTATTTTAATTTTAAAAAAGACAAGATAACATATATCCGAAGTCATTAAATTCAGCGCTTGTTAAATTTAATCATCGTTACTGATGTACAGTTTTCTACCATTTCGGAATTACATTTAAAAATTGGTCTCGATATGACGATAATAATAATAATTACGATCGCAGTGACAAAATATTGAAGTGGATCGACGAACGAATGTTTCTGTTGCCGTGACCCGACGGTTGATCGATCGTTTTTGGTCTTTTGCTTTGCAGGTCGCAAGCGTGGATATGCCACCAAGGACTGCGGCGCGGCGTCGCGAGTCCAGTGGAATGCCGCGGCGACGCTTGTCGAGCTGCCGCTGCAAAGCCAAGAGGCATCAGTGAGCAACCGCTCAGCAGCCAGCATGGGCGCCAATCAATCAGCAAGAACTCTGCCCAGCCCGGGCGAGGAAGGTTCTATTTTACAATTCATTTAGCGCTACTTTCAGGCAGTTACTATCGGTAGCCTTCTTGCTGAAACAAGACTTTGTTTTCGCACTTTCGGACTAAACATATTTGCTTCTCATTGTGAGCAAAATAAAAAGTATCGTACATAAATTACGTGACACTTGTTTGCTCACAAGTCCTTCGTTTACTATTTCATTGATTTTTCTATGTAGCGCACTATTATTTTCAGCTCGAAAAACTGAATGCGGTAGGAATACCTTTGCTAGGTAAATATGCAGTTAACAGATGTACCATTGTTACAAGTATTTACAATTCCTACGCATTGACTCAATATAAAACTTTATGTGAATTCAACTTTTTGATTGTGACTTAAGACGTACGTCGTTTATTCTTTGCAGATCTGTTATGCTTGACTAGCAAACGTATTACGATGGAAATAGGTCCTTCAAGTTTGACACCAAAAGCCTTCGTTGATCTACCCTACTTTTCCTTATTTCACAGCAATATTTGATAAATGTACAAAACTTCATCTTAATCAAGTTGCTCAAATATGGGCTTACATTTGATCTTCGCGAAAAAAATTTATATTCCCCTCTGCTTAATATTTCGAAACTACCAACTTTTTCATTGCTTTCATTGAAGCTTATTACAATTTCTAAAGTTCAATGCCTTAATTATTATCGAGGGCAGGAAAAATGGCCTTAATATCATTACGTGAAAGACGGTTTCCCATCTAATAAGGATTTCCATGTGACCTTTCCGCTCTACTGGCATGGAATAACCAAGATATGCATACGAAAGCGCACGGCTCATCGGGGAAATCAATTGCTGCAGCGTCTTCTTTAAGCATGCAGTTGCAACTACTCAAGCGAATCGTAATTGAAAACAAATCTTGACTAAGGCCAGGCAAAGTCACAGAGACAAGAAACTTAATTTGGACGTTAACCGATGAAACTGTGAAAGTGTGGAACGGGCTCCGTCGGTGTGGAGCGTGTATTGTTCATTGTTGACCGCGTAGTGCGATAGCATATAGGCGGCTGCGCGAGAGCGTCCGGTCGGTTTGAAATATGGGCGGCGGACGCGCGCGCACCAATTGCACGTCGCATGATGAATCGGCGCAAGTGTCAGATAATTCCGCGATGCTAGACAGCGCGCGTAACGTACCGGCGACCGGTATGCACGCGTTAGGCTTTGATTGATGCACCGCAGCTGTGCTTCCCGCAATTTGAGCTCCTTGTGCGTCGTTAACTGTCACGTTACTTTGATCATCTCGACCTGACCGATGACGTCTCGATTGACAACTGCCTTTCCACCGACCGACAAATATCGAATCACGTTTCACGACGTCCCGGCCCTTTATCATGCCTGGACTATTGTGCCTACGTTGTTAAACTTAAAGACGACTGAAGGTCTAGCCTGTCCTGACTGCTGCTTGTACGACAGCAACTAATCATCGATAGGTCATATTTTACCAAGTCGTTACGAAAATCTGTATTTACAATATAAATATCCTTGTTCAATAGTTTGTAACACGGACATTCTCATTCATAGACATAGGAATGTAAATTGAAACCATTATCATTCGATTATTTACTCCAATCATTAGCCAACTGACATTTCAGGTCGTGTGCATTCGAATATCTGGAAACACGTTAACTTTACGAGATTGTCCCTCCGAATTAATCACGACATTTCAATCATTTCAGTCGAAAGTAATATGTACACATATATAGGTGATTATAAAAAAGTGAAACGATCACACGCTAAAAAAATATCGCATTAATATAGCTTTTCAATCTTTTCATGTCGTCATAAACTGTTTTTCTTCATTTTTACAATGATTAGTTACAAAGTTAAGCTCATCAGTTTATTATTTACCACGATTCTCAAAAATATTTCAGTTTTGATATCTCAGGATGTGGCTTTGGCGCTTAAATTTGGCCATTTTCCGAGTATAGTGATTTTAAAAAAGTTCACAAGCTTATTTGGTTACGAAATGCATTACATCTATTTTTCTCAGGTATACCTTCAAAATTTCAATTTTAGACAGGATATTTTTTCTTTCTTTTTCTATTTCACACGATTTCTGTCATTTTTACTTGAAGTTTATTAGCTTTTCTGAAAATAAATTTTAGATATGATAAAAATTATGTAGTAAACATTTTGAATAACAGAAATACCATCATTGAATTGTTTTGACAATCAATTGTATATCAATTAACGAGAATAGATACTTAGTTTTAAAATTGGAACAGCAGAGATTGAAAAAACAGGCATCAAATTTATGAGTTTCCATTTTTTCTGCACAGTTTCTTTTTGTAAAGATTAAAAGTACACTATTATCACTCGAGTTCTCAGTATATAGATATAATGTCACGTTATGCTATCGCTATACTTGCCTTTACAAAATGTATACCACCGAGGGAAAGTTCTTCACAATAATATCAATTCTGTATATGTCAATCAATCATACGTCTTGACGGCCAGATAGAACTACTCATTTAATTCAACAACGTACTTGAGCCTTGGATTTGTGTATTATTGAGCGCCATTCTACATATTTCTATGGTCAGTTTACACATACTGATATACGTATCATTTTATAGAATTTAACGTCAATATATGTTCAAAGTAACTTGGCGTAAATTTCAATTTAAAATCTAATTGTGTTTGATCAAAGTTTCGTCGGATTAATACAAATTTACTGAAATTGCAATTATCAGCATACACTCGCTATCATAAAAGTTGTTGTCATTTAAATCATTTGATATTCGATATTGCGATGCGAATGGATTCAAGCGTCTGAAAATTTCATGACGACTATCTTTCAACCTCAATACCTGTATTACATGGTGGATGTAGTCTAACTTTCTGTTGGATTCTCGTGTTAGACTTTCTTTCATTTCTGACTTATTTATTTCTATTTTTCAATTTCGCGGTGTGACAGTTCTATTTACTTCCGTTTTGTAGACTATACACATACGCACACACCCATACACACACGTTGAACCTACATCTTCGCACTATTTCTTCCTGCTCTATTTTTGCAGCTGCAACTTAAATAAATCACGTGGAAATTCTACTCGACTCTTTCTTATGTTTGGAAAAAGTATGGGCCTGAAGTGAAGTTTGTTGAAAAAGAAGTAAAGTACTCAAATTGCGAAAAAAATAAATTTTACACTTTTTCAACTTTTTCTTTGTTTTTCTCGACATTGTCTATATGGTCGAGGTAAAGTAAGACAAGCGATCTCGGCCATAAAAACTTTTCTTTATTCGGCGATATTCATTAATCTAATTCCAAGTTTCTTTACGATAAACGATAGAAGCGAATGTTTCTTTTTTTTTCATTTCACTTAAATGAATTATGAGCATTCCCGGAATACTTCGGATCATTAAAACTTTGATGTTGGGGTAGATACAAGAATCAAGACTCACGATAGAAGATACCATCTCAGTAAAATTAAAGAATTTGGTGTCAGCGAGATGTAAAAAGTTTTTTTATTACCGACTTACCTACAAGGTCAGTGTTATTCGCGAAGGAAAACGTTGATAAATATACGCGAATGCTGCAGATTTAAAAAGTTGGCTATCGAGTTTGCCGGTTGCTATTGTGAGAAAACAAGGAAGTAATAATCTCGGTAGGTTGGAAAACTTGTTTCGGGGGAATCGCACTGTTTGGTCGGGCAGGAGCAATTAGAGAACTTAGCGGCTCGACTGACAGTACATCTATTTGCGCAAACTAATTTTCTTGTCGAACTCGCGCCAACTTTCAGTCTATAAACTTCAATTGCCAACTTTCCGTAACACATTATCCTCGGCGACTTGCGCGTCGACGCGCTTTCCATTGTCCGTTTTATTTGGGAATCCGAAACCGACTGGATTCAAGCCGAGTCCACGTAAACGGAGCGAGGCAAACAAAAAACGCTTCCTCGTGGCAAAACATTTTTCTGCAAATGCTTTTGACGCGAGTAAGCCGGATGTTTACTCAAAACAAGAAAGCTCGTGCGGAGAAAAGTACTCGGAGTTTTCCTCCGTCTCGCGCTGCTGGCAGTCACTTTCTACCGCAGGCGTTTGTCCATTGTAATGTCGTAAGCTTCTCAGGGCTAACTTTCGCGAGCTAGATGGGAGTGTATGGGCGTATATAAGCTCGCGCGTTTCCGCTAATTAGTCTAGTGCTAATGCGTGTGTGTACAAGCCATTGTGCACACGTGACTTTGATCAAGGCTGTAGCCGCTCTCTGTTTTTTTTTCCTTCTTCTTCTTCCTGGCTCTCTTTCAACCAGAAGCACGTTTTATTTTATTTTTTTCTGTTCTTGCAGCTGCGAGCGATAAAAATTCGCCCGTTTGCTTGAGAGCAGCCGCGGGACGCTTTAGCTCGCGTAAGCTCCGTGGGGAAAAAAATCCCTTTGATGCCGAGTAAAAATGCTTCCGATATTGTTCTTGCACGTGAGAAACGTGGCTTTAATTAAATTTTCGCGCACTCTCAGCCAAAACTTTCACATTGGTTTACATTTGTCGCTGCAGCTTTGGAGATATTCTTTGAAAGCTAGTTACGAGCGATGTCACCGTTAGCTTTTTATTGCTCAAAAGAGAAAGCCGCGTGGGGGTCGCAGCGCGAGAAATTAACGTGAATATTCATCGAAATTTCCTAATTAATGAATTAATAGCTCTTTCAGTACAGTGAGATAAATTTTTTCAAAGTTAAGATTAACTGTAAGGCTTTGAACATTTACAGTAGAATTGAAATATATGTACACACATAGAGAAAGAGAGAGAGAGAGAGAGAGAGAGAGAGGTAAAAAAATCCATGTTTATATGGATGTAACGCGTACTTGGACTTGAAGAGGCATGATTAGCCGTTACGTCTATTAGCGCTCACCAAGAGCTCTTAGCCACGGCGTTAGAGACATTAAATTACTGGTTAGAATTCCCAGGGGGGCCGGTGGGCTTGTACCAACGGTGGTTCCTCTTACGCTAACGAGTTTTCCTCTCTAGCGTATGACGCTT